GATACTTCCCATCTATAATTCTATCATCTGCATGCCAAGTAAGGTGTTTCGCATCTATTTCACTACGAAACATGCGTCTGAATCTCGGAATTATAGGAAAATACCATAAGACTTTTGCTGGTGACAACTTCTTCTTATACCGAGATACACCGCATTTAGGACACTCGTTTAATGATGCATACTCATTTCGAAACAAAATGCAATCATTTGGACAAGCATGTATCTTATCATAGCTCATACCAATAGAGCATAACATTTTTTTAGCTTCATAGGTTCGATTGGGAACCATTATCCTCCGGAAGCATCTCTTGAAGTAGGGCTAACAACTCTGTGAAACTTTTATCCGACCATCCATTACCCGCCTTTAAGTTGTACAACTTTAATACCGCAGACAATCTTGTGAAAGTAGTGCAACCTTTATACAACGACTTCTCTGCATCGCTTACCAACCTCTCAAACATCTTTGGACAATCTTTAAGATCTTCTTCAAGTGCTTCTGCAATATCTTCGACTCGATCACAATCGTATGTATCCCTACCATTGTCCTTTGAAGTAGAGGTCGTATTGTTCTGGGGTTCAACATTCTCGTTACTTATCTCACCGTGTAATGTCCAACATGTGTAACTTCGATCAATTCCATGTCTCATTAAATGAGATTCCAACTGAACCGCGTCAATTCAACGCCCATAACAGCAACCTAAGCAAGGACATGTGATCCTACTGGGGTCTTTTCAACAGCAAACTTAACGAAGTTCGATACCCCATTCTCGTACTCTTTTGACAATCGATTAACAGACATCCAATTTTTATCCATACTATGAAAGTTAGGCAAAAACAGAGAATACCTGTAAAGAAATCACTAACTTCTAAGAAAGTTGTACAGTAGGATGCTTGGAAACAATCACAACCTTGCTCTTCTCAGGTAACCCCTATAACAGACAATATATACATTTTATTAAAATCATATTAATAATTAACCAAAACAAAAAAACTAGATAATCCAACAAAACAAATCATATTAAAAAAAAGTAGATATACTATAATAAACTATTCTACTATTAAAGCATACTTTCATTAATATGATTTTAAACTATTCTAAACTATTTTATAATGCTCAAAATGACATGGACTAAATTAAAGCATACTCTCATAAATGGTGGAAATGGACTAAATTATTCTAAACTATTCTAAACTATTTCATTAATATGATTTTAAACTATTCTAAACTATTAAATCATACTCTCAAAAATGGTGGAAATGGACTAAATTATTCTAAACTATTCTAAACTATTGCATTAATATGATTTTAAACTATTCTAAATTATTAAAGCATACTCTCAAAAATTTTGGTAATGGACTAAATTATTCTAAACTAATTTATAATGCTCAAAATTCATTGTGGCATTTCAACAAACACCTTGCATACAAAACTCAAGCCAATATCAAAAGAGTAATGCTCATCAACGGTATCAACAAAAACAAGTCAATAACTCAGAAAGAAGTAGCACTAACATCATCTAATCCAGAAAAATGCAATACTAAGACAATAATCTATAAAAATGCCGTAACAGTCGCGGATTTACCGTAACGGTGGAGGAGAACGAACGGTGAACGACGGCGAAAGGGAACGGCGAACGGCGGCGAAAACAAATGGAAGACGGCGGCGCAAACGGACGACGACGAAAGCTTCAACGGAGGGCGAAAATGGAAGATAGGGCAATGGAGAAATGAAGAAACGAAGAAGAAAACGAAAAAACGCGTGTTCTGTTTCGTTTACAATTCTGGAGGATATATAAAAATTATTATACTAATACCTTTAGCAGCGCTTTTTAAAGGCCTTTAGCAGCGCTTTTAAAAGCGCTTTCATAGGGTGCATTAGCAATGACATATAGCAGCGCTTTATAAAAAAAGCGCTCTCGTAGGGTCCCCTTTTAGCAGCGCTTTTAAAAAGCGCTTTCTAAGGGTCCCCTTTTAGCAGCGCTTTTTAAAAAAGCGTTGTCTTTGGTAGGTAATTTTTTTCTTTTTTTTTACTGACTATTTAGCAGCGCTTTTTTTAAAAGCGCTGTCTTTTGTGCGCTGCTAAAAATCAATTCTGGCGTAGTGATTTCTATCTCTTTCTCTCCTCTTTCCACTTATATTTCTTTCTATTCTATTTCCCTCAAAATATCTACTAAATCTATTTTCTCACAAAATATCCAACTTAGCATTAAATACTAAATGTCGAAAATACCCTTCAATCTATTTTCCCCCGAAACTCTCAAAATCTGTAAAATAGCATAATATGCAAACATAACATATTAACACATAAATTCCACAATTAAAATAATAATCATCCAAATAAATCAAAAAGACTCGACAAAATGGGAAATCAGAATCGGGGCGTTACACCTCACAAATTGGGATTTTCCCTCATTACCCTTACTAACTCCTCCAAATGCCCAAATTACCCTTATTCCTCTTATATTTATTTTAATTCATAATAATATTAATAAATCCATATTACCTACTATTATTACAAAATAAATACTCCACAAAGCATAATTCCTCAATAATTCACAAAGCCACCGAAAAATACCAAAATCGAATATTCTCAATTAAATTAATTAAATAAAATATTCCAATAAATATTTGGGGTGTTACACCGCCTTCCGAAGATCACGAGGCAGTTGATCTAGGGCGAAGACCACGTGCTGGTCTTCACTACGCCACATAAGCCTTGACAGTTACTTGTGTTGGGCCTGACAATCTGGCCCAATGCAAGTAACCGTTGGCCCTGCGCTGGGGTCTCTCTATAAATACTCTCTTTCACTAGAGAGTCAGGTATCTTATTCTCTACACCTATTTCTCTGTATTTGCTCTCACACTCTGATCCTTTACTCACTTAAGCATCAGAGCGCCTTGTATGTACACCCCCTTCTTTCTCCCTAACTCCGGTAAAAGCTGCAATCTAACGACGTGTGGCAGGCCGTTGATCAGGTGAGATAAAAAACAAATACATAAAATAATTTATAATTAATATTAATGGTTCAAAATTTTGATATAAAAGAATATATGATACAATACATACCAAAATTAGAAGAAAAAACAAACATAAATAAACATGAAAAAATTATAAAAAATAAAACAAAAAAGTGTAATGATTATAATTTATATTAAATATAAAAACTAAAATATAATTTAAAAATGGAGACCGTTCTAATAAGTTTATAGAATCAATCAAGACAAATCAAACAAGAGAGAAACAATAAGACAAGAGAAAATGAATAATTTTAAAATATTAAAATTAAACTAATTATATTTTACTAAATATATTTATTTTTTGAATATTAAAACTCATATTCTCTTTTCTCTCCTCCATATCTCTTAATTCAAAAGAATGTAAAAGTGTGTTTTTGAAAATTTTTATTTTCTACGATACCTTTTCCTTTCATTTCTAAAATATAAACCAAATATATTTAATTAAAATTATCTTTTTTTTCTTTCACTCCATTCCATCTACCCAAATCAAAAAATACCATTAATATTATAACTATTATATTTTGTGAATAATGAATGTTGAACATTTTTTATTACCATTAGATTTTATGAACCATGGATGATGGATATTTCGAAACATAATTTTATTAACATTTTATATTTTAATATTTTAATTTTGTTGAGTGGTCTTTAAAACTTTTACATTATAATGTTTTGAAGATTAATTAATTAATTTTAAAACATTAACGAGGTTAATCTATATATGTCATAAAAGAGATGAGATGAGATTTTCAACTCCATACCACAGGTTGGCTAGCCATTATGACTGTTCATGATCCATACATGAACAAACCGAACTGAATCAAATTAAATTTTATTAATTTTTTTTTAAATTATTGGTTTAATATATTATTTTACTTTAAAAAGAATTAAATAATTCGTTCAATATATTGTTTTAAAAATTAAAATTGAACTTAACCGTTTTAATTTCTTAAGAATGAAATTGGATTAAAATGATTGGTTTAATATATTATTTCAAAATGACGAACTGTGTTAAATAGTTAAAAAATATTTTTTTCCCAAATCGAATCATTTGATAAAAAAAAACAAATCATTAAATTATTTTTTAACTTCAAAAAAAATTAAAATTTATATTTAATATTTTTCATTTTTCAATTTCAAATTTAATTTTATTATATATATATATATATATATATATATATATATATATATATATATATATATATATATATATATATATATATATATATATATATATATATATATATATATATATATATATATATATATATATATATATAATAGAAGAATGTTATTTTTATATAATAATATCAGAATATATTTGAACTATTATATTTTAAAATAAATAGTGGAGATTATGTCTCAGTTTTTTTTTCTTTTCTTTTATCATTTAAAAAAAAGAGAAAAAAAATTTAATTTGATTATTTAAACCATTCATGTTTGACATATTGATTGAACAATTCAGTTTAGTTTATGACATATTGATTGAACAATGTTGCCATCTTAATAGAAATTGTTTATTTAGAGAAGAAAATGAGAGAAAATATTAAAAATATACAAAATCATCAAAATACTTTTTAAAAAATCGTTAAATTAAAAAATAAATAGTCAAAAATAAAATTATGTTTGAATTGAAAAAACAAAATTTGGCTACTATCAATAATTGTAACCGTAGGTTTTATATCTTTCTAAAATAGAACTGTGGGTTTATATTATTTATAAATAAATAAAACATTTCATTCTTTTTCAAAGTAAATCACAACCGCATACGTGTCAAATCGTTGTTCCACCGGCGTCTAACAGCCATTGATAATCTCGTTTGAATAAAACCCCAAATTCAAATGAACAAAGACGCAAACCGATCCAGGTTCATTACTTCTCTCTTTCTTTCTCTTTCCCATTCCTATTTCTCTTGTTGAAATTCGAAAGCGTGTACACAAGAGTTTTCTTTTCTTCTTCTTCTCTATCTCTAAAACCTGTAAATGGAAGAAGAAAGAGGCTGTTACAACAACAAGAAGAGTTTGTTTTTATTAGGGAAGAAGAAAGAAGACGTTTATCATGTATTTTTCAAGGTTCCTTATGGTGATAGTCCTTATGTCAGAGCCAAACATGCTCAGGTACACTATTCCAACTTCTTACCCTTTTTTTTCTTCCATTTTTTGGATTTTACTATTTTTGGTTTATTGATTTTTAGAGGTACTACTTACATTCTAGATTTTTGTTGTTTTTGTTTTATGAGTTAATCTTTTTCCATTTGAAGGTTTTGATGGTGACTTCTTGTGTGTTTGATTTTAATTTTTAATTCTTCCTATGATGCTTCATGCATGACTGAAAATTTGTTAATCTGATTCTGTTATGGTGTTTAGATTTACTGTTTTTAGTTTAGTTAAGATCCTGGTTAATTTGTGAAAAATTATTAGGAGAAGTTTTTATTGTTGGAGTGAGACATTGTGAAGAAAAAGATAAAATGTTGACTAAAACTGATAATCCCTTCCTCTCAAAAATGTCTTTTAAAATTGTTCCTCAAATCTTAAGATGTTAAGATTAAAGAAAAATAATGATTAAATAAATAAAGTAGCGTAGATAATATTTAGGCTTAATTATGTATTAGTCTTTTGTTTAATTGATTTATGGATTTGATCTCCTATATTAAATTTAAACAATTTTGATCTTTCATCATATTTTTGCATTTAAAATTAATGATATAAATAAGTTTTTTTTTTAAATATAACAAACTATGGTATATAAATTTATTGTGAAACTATATAGATAAAAATATTAGTTAAAAAATGAACTTCTCATCGATTTTATATGAAAAAACGTGAGAGGTTGAGTTTGAATTTAAAATAAAGAAACTAGTTTTATAAGTTGGGTAAAATTAAAAAACCAAAATTGTAATTTAGTCTTAAATTTATTAAGAGTAAAGATAAAAATTAATTAATGTTGCATTTGAAATTGAAAAGAAACACTTTTTTTTTTTAAATCTTTATAATTCACTAAGAAAGGAACACTTAATTTGAAACAAATTTTAAAAAAACAAAGACACTTATTTTAGAAGAAAAGGAAGAGAATACATTTTAAGAAATAAAAATACTATTTATTTTCACAATTTCATTATTTTGATAAGAAAATTGCTTTATGTGACGAAAAGAAAATTATACAAATGACATGTACATCAGCTTAACCTCTTTTTATGCCACCACCACCCATGTATTCCACAAAATCTGGAAGATCAAACTATTCAAAACGTTAAACACGTCATGGTTCGTGAAATATACGAAGAAAATCTATCGTACTAAATAGCAATGCTGTTTTGATAAATACAAAACAATCGTGTCTCTTTTATTCTAAATTAATATAAGTTTTAAAAAATGAAAATGGAAAATGTTTTCTCAAACCAAAGGTTATAAAATTTGTAAAAGAGTTATAACCATTATGGATATATAACATATATTTGATATCATTATTATTGTATCTATGGCAAATTTGGTTGAAAGTGACATAAATGTAAAACATAACTAGTTTTCTATAATTGACATATATTAGTGACTTGATTAATATATATGAAGATAGAAATTAATTAGTTTGGGGGTAAATGCTTGTTCAATTCAATAATGCATTATGGCAAATTGGATGGTTTTCAAAATTTTCACAAGACACGTGGATGCAAGGTAACGAAACGTAAATTTGATCATATTCAAATTTTATTTTTTCTTACAAAAAATTTAGGTTAGATGAGCTTTGAGATTCAATAGAGTTAGAACATACCTCAAGATTTAGAGTTTTGCATATACTATCTCTCAAATATCCTAATATGGTATGAGTGTGACATAATGTTTATGCTAGTGACATTGATAATATGAATTATTATAGCTGGTAGAAAAGGACCCGGAAGGTGCAATTGTATTATTTTGGAAAGCAATAAATGCAAGGGATAAAGTGGATAGTGCTTTAAAGGATATGGCTGTGGTGATGAAGCAATTAGATAGATCCCAAGAAGCCATTGAAGCTATCTCTTCCTTTAGAGGCCTTTGCTCCAAACAGTCCCAAGAGTCTCTTGATAATGTACTCATTGATCTTTACAAGGTACTACAAATCATACATTTTAAACTTGTTTACATGTATTTATAAATGTAGAAAAAATGTTGTCAAACCAGTAGTATATTTTTATTTTAATCCAACTAGTATATATATCAGTTAAGTTGAAAGAGACTTTAACCATTTTATCCTCGTAATTTTGGGTAGCTTCTTTATACTTTTTAGTCCATTAATAAACTCTACATTAATTTAAATTTTTCGTGAATGATAGAAAAGTGGGAAAATAGATGAACAAATAGATTTGCTAAAGAGGAAGCTGAAATTGATCTACCAAGGGGAAGCCTTCAATGGGAAACTCACGAAAACTGCCCGATCTCATGGCAAGAAGTTTCAAGTTTCTATTAAACAAGAAACTTCAAGATTGTTGGTATTTTATCTTAACTATACCTCACTTTTGATTACACACTATAATTGCATACTTGCTAACAAGATTTTTTTATGCATAATTCTGATGGAATTCAGACATTAGTGTTGATATGATCGCACCGCATGCATAATTACCTAAACTACCTAAACGATGTTGCATATTAGGGAAACTTGGGCTGGGCCTACATGCAAAAGATGAACTACGTGATGGCGGAGGTGGTGTACCGAAAAGCCCAAATGATCGATCCGGATTGTAACAAGGCATGTAACTTGGGCCTATGTCTCATTAGACAAGCTAGGTACGAAGAGGCCCAAGTGATTATCGATGATATACTAAAAGGAGAAATTCCAGGCTCAGATGATATCAAGTCTAGGAAAAGGGCTGAAGATCTTGTAATAGAGTTGAAATCATTGATACCTCCATCACATACATTGGATCTTTTGGTTCTTGATGATGAGTTTATCAAAGGCATAGAACAGTTGATGAATGAATGGGGTCCACTTAGATCAAAGAGACTTCCAATTTTTGAAGAGATTTCTTCTTGTAGAGATCAGTTAGCTTGTTAAGATTTTAACTTTGTACATAGCTTTTTTATATTATATTTTTGATAATTTTTCCTTTCTTTTTCTTATTTTCCTCATAGTAGAGGGTTTTTTTATATTATATATCAGTTAGCCATACTGTTGGTCAGTTTGGCAAACTTAAACCACTCCTAATTTGAAAATGCCACTGGCACTAAAGTTGAGAAACTCTGGAGTTACTCTAACTACTCTTAAATTTTTTTTAATAGTTTTTCTTTTTGAAGCTAAATATATTCGACTCTACACTAAGCACAAGATGTGCAGAGAAAGACCATAACTTACAAAGGAGCAGGGACGGATCCACGTGAAGAGGTATGGGTGACTTGCACCCACTTAAATATTAGTAAGCATATATGTTTTTTATTCATAGGAATTTAAAATAAGTTAAATTTTTACTGCAATGTCTACTAAAAATAACTGTGTTTTGTAAATTTAAGAAGAAAATAACATCATGTTAATTATGGTGAAAACTATTTTATTAGTTTTATGTCTCTAGATCAAAGAAAATTATTGAACCTCTCATAAAACATGACTTTAAAATAAAAAATATTGGATATGTTATTTTAATATTTCTTAAAATATTTTTCAAAAACATGGATGTAAAAGTTTTAAATAATAATCATAATTGTGTTGCGGTTATGTAAAAGTTTTCGTAATTTTAATTCGGTATAGATGTTACGATTCTGATTGCGATAGTCGTAATGTGAATTACTCATAATTTATCTTTTATTATAAAACGACGAATAACGTTATTAATTATTAGAATATTAATAGTAATTCATATTTTATTTAGTTGTACTATTTTCTTAGCCCCTAAGTTTGTTAGAGGGTATTTTAGTATTTTATCTTATTCTATTAACCCTAGTTTTAGCTTATAAATAGGGTGACAATCATTGTAACTTTTAATCATGTTTTTCTGCCGTCATTCTTAATAGAATATTTCTACCTTTCATCATTTATTCTACCTTTGCACCAACAATTGGTATCTAGAGCTCCGGTTCAGATTCATTGGGAAACACGGAAAACACGAGTGAACGTGAGGTCTTGTGTGTTTGATTTTGATTCTTAGATTCGTGTTGAATCTTGAACAAAATCTGATCAGAATTTTATTCTGTGGGTTGGGAAACACTGTGTGAGAAATCTGAGTGTATTGTGCAAGGTAGAAGATGAACGGGAACGACAACATGAACACCAAACTTCCAGTATTTGATGGTAAAAACTGGAATCGTTGGATGATCCAAATGCGTGTACTATTTGGTGCTCAAGATGTTCTAGATCTTGTCACTGATGGTTATGTTCCAGTAGCAGCAGATGCAACAGATGAACAGAAAAACGCGCAGAAGGAAGTAAGGAAGAAGGATCAGAAAGCATTATTCTTTATTCATCAATGTGTGGATGTAAATGTGTTTGAGAAGATTGCAGATTCAACAACAGCAAAGGCTGCGTGGGACACACTGGTGAGATGTTATGGTGGTGACGCATCAATGAAGAAGGTGAAGCTTCAGTCCTTGAGAAAGCAATATGAGAATCTCAACATGAAGAATAATGAGAAAGTCTCTGAATACATCTCCAGAATGATTCTGATCACTAATGAGATGAAGGCGTGTGGAGAAACTCTTTCAGAAGAAACAATAATGGAGAAAGTATTGAGATCCCTTACTCCTCAATTTGATTACATTGTGGTAGCAATAGAACATTCCAAAGATCTGAGCACCATGAGAATTGAAGAGCTGCAGAGCAGTCTAGAAGCGCAAGAGTTGCGTTTGACTGAGAGAACTTCTGAAAAGGAAGTAGAGCAGCAGGCTCTGAAAGCAACTTCTGATAGGAGGTATCAGAAGCAGTCAGAAGCCAGGAGAAGATCTGATGGTGGTCAGAAGTCAGAAAGCTCAACCTCTGATAGACAAAAGAATGCTCAGAAGGGAAAAGAGAAGTATGACAAGAAGAAGATCCAATGTTACTGTTGTAAGAAGTTTGGTCACTTTGCTAGAGATTGTTGGTCAAACAAGGAGAGAAAATCAGAAGAAGCAAATATAGCCAGAAGTTCTGATGAAGAATCTGTGCTATTGATGGCTTCTGAATCTGATAATATGGATCTGATAGACTGGTGGTATATGGACACTGGTTGTTCAAATCATCTTACTGGAAACAAGAAATGGCTGGTTGACTTTGACTCTGAAAAGAGAACAAAGATCAGATGTACTGATGACAAATATCTTAATGCAGAAGGTATGGGAAATGTCAGAGTGATTCTGAACAATGGGAAAACAGCATTGATTCAGAACGTGTGGTATGTACCTGGCATCAGAAGCAATCTGATGAGTGTGGGACAATTAATTGAGAAAGGTTTTTCAGTTACCATGAAGGATAATCTTTTGAAGCTGTATGACTGCAATCAGAAGTTGATTATGGAGTCAGAACAGGGAAGGAATAGAACATTCAAGGTGAATGTCAGAACTGCAGACTCAGAATGTCTTAGTGCAACATGTGCTGAGAAGGAGAGTGAGCTGTGGCACAGAAGATTTGGTCATTTGAATTTCAGAAGCCTAAAACATCTGAATTCAAAGAAGCTGGTACATGGAATTCCTGCAATTAAGAAGCCTGAGAAGTCATGCAAAGTTTGCATGGAAGGAAAACAACCACGTTTGCCATTTGCGTCAGAAGTTGCTCCAAGAGCAAAACATGCCTTGGGAGTTGTACATTCTGATGTGTGTGGTCCATTTCCAGTAGCATCAATTGGAGGGAATAAGTACTTTGTGTTGTTTGTTGATTAATTCACAAGAATGACATGGGTATCCCTTATTAAATTTAAACATGAGGTGTTTGATGAATTCAAGAAGTTCAGAATGAAGGCTGAGAATCAGAGTGGTCAGAAGTTGAAGATTCTTAGAACTGATGGTGGAGGTGAGTATAACTCCAAAGAGTTCCAGAAGTTCTGTGAGGAGAATGGAATTGAGCATGAGGTTACTGCTCCTTATACCCCTCAACACAATGGTCTTGTTGAAAGAAGAAACGTACTTTGCTTGATATGGTGAGAAGCATGCTAAAGGAGAAGAAGCTTCCTCAGAAGCTCTGGGGAGAGGCTGTTGCCACTGCAACGTATGTACTCAACAGATGTCCTACGAAGAAGTTGAAGGAAATAGTTCCTATGCAGAAGTGGACTGGAGACAAGCAAAGTGTTAGTCATCTGAAGGTGTTTGGTTCTGTTTGCTATAAACATGTTCCAGAAGCCAGAAGACAGAAGCTGGATGATAGAAGCAAAGTGATGATTCTGATAGGGTACCATAATACAGGTGCATACAAGCTCTATTGTCCAGAAACCAATAAAATTGAATTCAGCAGAGATGTGATTGTGAAGGAATCAAAAGTTTGGAATTGGGATAAGTCTCAATCTGATTTTGATGTTAGAACTTCTGAAGAAAGGTCAGAGTTAAGAACTTCTGAAGTTGAAGTAAACTCTGAAGTTGATTCTGACTCTGATAGTGATTCTGACTCTGGAGAAGACTCAGAAGATGAAGGTGACTCTGATGATCCAGACTCTGATGGTAATCCAGATTCTGGTGGAAATTCAGACTCTGAAGATAGCCAAGACTCTGAAAATATGCCAGATCTTGAAGATGGTCAAAGCTCTAGAGGAAGTCAACCATCTAAAGCTGGAAACTCTGAAGCTCAAGACTCTGAACAAGTTCAGAGACCACAAAGAATCAGAAGCGTTCCTAGAAGATTTGCAGAATTTGACATGCTGCAAGACACTGAAGTAGACTCTGAAGGAGAAGTTATTCAGTGTGCCATGTTAGTAGACTCTGAACCTATAAGTACAGAGGAGACTCTTAAGCAGAAGCTCTGGCTGAAGGCTATGAAAGAAGAACTTGATGCTATAGAGAGAAACAAGACTTGGAAGCTGACAGAACTTCCAAAAGACAAGAAAGCCATCAGCGCTAGATGGGTTTTCAAGCAGAAGTTAAAGCCAGATGGTTCAATTGGCAAACATAAAGTAAGGTTGGTAGCCAGAGGATTTCTACAGAAACCTGGGCTGGATTACTCTGAAGTGTTTGCACCTGTAGCAAGACATGAAACAATCAGAATGGTGATTGCAATAGCTGCTAACAGGAATTAGCCTCTGATGCATTTAGATGTAAAATCTGCATTTCTGAATGGTCCATTAGAAGAAGAAGTTTACGTGTCACAACCTCCTGGATTTGTGAAAAAGAATCAGGAAGGGATGGTGTACAGATTATACAAAGCTCTATATGGATTGAAACAAGCGCCCAGAGCTTGGAATCAGAAGATTGATTCATTTTTCAAGAAGCAAGGCTTTCAGAAATGTGAGATGGAGTACGGTGTCTATGTTCAGCATACTTCTGAAGGCAATATGACTCTGGTATGTTTATATGTTGATGATATACTATTGACTGGAAGTTCTGAACAGGAGATAACCAAGTTCAAGAAGGTTCTAATGAATGAATTTGAAATGACTGATCTAGGCAAAATGACATACTTTCTAGGGATGGAGTTCAGATATTCTGAGAAAGGTATCATTTTGCATCAGCTCAAGTATGAATTAGAACTTCTGAAGAGATTTGATCTGAAGAATTGTAAGATGGCTGTCACACCTTCTGATACAAATCAGAAACTGGATTCAGACTCTGAAGGAAAGGATGTGGATGCTACAACCTTCAAACAGTTGGTTGGTTCTCTGAGGTATCTGTGCAATACCAGACCTGATATTTGCTACTCAGTTGGGATGGTTAGTAGGTTCATGAGTAAACCTAAGTGGTCCCATTACCAAGCTGCTGTCAGGATTCTGAGGTATATCAAAGGAACTCTGAAGTATGGAGTGTTATTTCCCTTTGGAGGAAATAATGAGTCAGAACTTCTGAGTTATTCAGACTCTGATTGGTGTGGAGACAGAGTTGACAGAAGAAGTACATCTGGGTACTTGTTCAAATTTCTGGGAGGTTCCATTTCTTGGTGTTCCAAGAAGCAAC